AAACTACATGCATCGACCATATGGTGATTAAAATTTTACTACATCCTTAATGATTCACTTACAATTCACTCGTTACATATTTTACAAGAAATAAAGTCTTTGCTTAAGAAAACTAATTAGTGCTTCGTCATACAGACAGCGCGTGTGGTTTACTCTCAAAGATGGCGATCACGTTGGACCTTATAAGTCCCAAACCGGCGCCCAACACTTATAAATTAGTGTTGGGGACTGACTCGAGCTCCATTGGCTTACGATTGTGTTTGATTTAGGAAATGGACCCAGCGGAATATGTCTTTCTTACATGCTCGCCGGGAACTGGCCATACTATACCGGCGAGCCACATCCCGGGGACGAGATGCTCACCGCGAGACTGCACTTCAGCACCAGACCGGAGGAGTGCAGCCCCACGTCCATGGACGACGAAACCAGAAACGGGACGAGCAATAGGTGGCAGCAGAGCAAGTCTGATCGATGCGAATCGAGGAGCCAAGGGAGAGGATTGGCTCGCAGCACGCGCTGCAAACTCGAACACCTCTCTTCCGGGATAGAGGGTAGAGTGGGTGGTCGACCTTTGGCTCTTCTGATGGACCAACTTCAACATCCTTGCGTGGATGCTGGTCTCGACGTGCCGTCTCTGCTCACGTGGAAATCCGTTGATCAGCATCCCGAACACAAAGTCATCGATCACGTCGTGCTTGGGAAAGGTCAACCTGGTGGTGCCTGGCAGGTAATCTATCAAACGCGCGGACTGGGGATGGAAAAAATTTGGTAGGAATAATAAACGATGAATAAGCTTTAAGTCAGGCTTTAGTTAGGTTTTAGTTTGATCTTTACGAATGTATTCGACTTCAGACGATGGATCCAAACGTGTTGACCATCAGCTTGAATCGATGGATGTCGTTACCAGACTTGGAGATACGGCAATGGGAGAAGATGGTGGAGTCCGAATTACTTCGGACAACTAATTCAACGGAGGGTGGACCATGCGCGTTCCAAGAAAGGCTGAACGCGAGTAAAACGACTAGCAGAATTTCCGTAGGCACCGTAGCCGCCTACTATAAAGACTATGTTCGCAGAAAAGGATTGGAGCAATTCTTTCGATGGTTTGTATAGCTTAGATAACGTAAACACACCAATAAAATCACTGTCTCTACTGGTTATCTACCGGTACTTGATTACTCGTTATATAACTTGACTTCGGGTATCGTTTTGCAGCGGAACTACGGTTACTTCGGTGAGGCCAGCCCGCGTTTCGAATGCCGACGAGACAGACAATCGTTACGGATGGCTGGTGGAGGGGTTCGAGAACAAAACTGGAAAAGTGTTCCGATATCGATGCAAACGTGCCGTTCTTGCCACGGGCACCACCGATTTGTCCAATCAGTTAGGAATACTTGGGGAAGATTCACATCCCGAGTGGGTGACGCATGATCTGAATGACCTGGAGTCGAGATTAGATCGTCTGGTCGATCAATATCACGGTACGTGAATGTTCTCTCATTCCCTTTCCTGCTAGACGCTTTCGACATTTCACATCTGCGACCACAGGAATAATCTAATCTAATCCAGTGGCATGATGTCATTCTTTGAAAAATTCAATAATTTTTGGATCAACCTGACTTGACAAATTGAGTAACGTCTCTCTTGCTGGCATTCGCTCATAATTCTTTATGCAAAGTGATTCGTAACAGATTATCCTATACGTAACGAGCATAGATAGAATTTCAAACTAAACGCGACGACTGTAAACGCCAACGTCAGGCAGTTTTCAGAAATAAAATTTCCCTCCTTGATATCTGGAAGTCCTCCAGCTGGCGTATGCACCTGGGTAAGATTCTCAAGTCCGTATCTTAATCCGTCCCGAAAGTGTTTCGACGAAATTCGCGTGTTGTCTCGTAAGTCGTTCGATTTGGCACGCGATAACCCTGAACGATCGATTGGTGCGATTACAGATGAAGAATTGGCAGACCGCGTCGAGCCTGTTCTTATAATCGGCGCTGGACTTAGCGCAGCTGACGCGATAATCGCTGCTCGTTTCCGAGGTATACCCGTGTTGCACGCGTTCCGGGATCCGTCGAGCGAATGGAGTAAATCGAAAGACGAGAGGATATATCACACCAAGTTCGACAGGTTGCAGGGACTCCCCAGTTCCATGTATCCCGAATACCATAAGGTTTACGAGATGATGGCCGACGGGGGTACCAATTACCCTCTCTACAGAGCGTTGCAAGGATACTCGCTGATCGGTTTCGACGGAAATGGAGGCGATAGCATGGATGTAGACGAGTCCCAGAGCCGAGTGGTCACACTTCTAGCTCCTGATGGACAGCTTAGGGTGTTTCGCGTATCTGTCGTGGCTATACTCATCGGTACGTACCGTGGGACTGTAGTCGCTGGAAGGGATCTTGTGAGGTCGTCCTACGGATCAGTTACCTGGCCCAATAAACCAATAATTACCGTTTCGGTTTACGACCTCACAAGATCCCTTTCAGCGACTATACCTCTAATCAGTAGACTACGGTAAAACCTTGATTTTTGGTGGAGCTTAAATCGAGGTTTGGCTGTATTTACGCAAGTGTCAATTATAAGGAAATATTTATTCGCAGGGTACAAGCCTGACCTGTCCTATCTGGAAGGTAACGGTATCGGCCTCGGAAGATTGCCTGATAAGCCCATAGACCGTAAATTGAATCCAATCGACGTTGACAATTTCACCTACGAGGTGGTTAAAGCGCCGAGACCTGGTCTGTACGCCCTGGGTCCTCTGGTCGGGGACAACTTTGTACGATACATACTTGGGGGAGCGTTTGGGATCTTAGCTCACATTTTAAATACCTCCAGCTCATGAGCTAAACCTTCACAATCCTCCCAACGGTGTAAATGTGTGTAAATTTTTCGATCTCGGTTGTTGTGCATTCAGACACTGCTAATAGTGAACGTGCGACACAGCGTTATCAGATTCGACACAATTTTCGTCAACAGCTACACGCGTAGTCAGTATTACGAGCGTCAGAAGCAGCCCATCAAGGGTGTTGATACTAGTGTTTACTCGATTATGACGTTTCACCGATGCCAGTTTCAACGCGTATGCGCGAAAATTGTGTCTGATTTGGGAGTACCGGTACAACGACGTACTGACGGATTCACGTGTATCAAGAATGAGCAAAGAAAGTATGCAGATAAAACTGTCGATTATATTCGTTGAATGAAAATTAGAGTTCGAATTATAATATTGTAAATTTCACAATGAAAAGGTATATCTATCCGTTGAATCACGTTTTTATATTTTCTACGCAGAATCGGTACGCGTTCCTTTATACGAACCAAGAACAGCATTTGTTGCAGTACCGAGTTCTATTTTGAATTAATGGGAACGCGTTGAAATTCTTATCGATACTTTTTTTTGTACAATTTCTTATCTCTTATATTTTGTCCGTCGATGCTTTATACGTAAATTGTAACATAAAGCTTGCACAAGTTTTATTGTTACAACTTATAGTTTAACGAATACTTAATTATTATAAGAAATTAGCGTTATAACAAAAAAATGAAAGTGCATATTGCATATTATTTGTTTCCACATGTTCTCGAGTCCAATTACGAGTTGGCCGTGCCGCCAACTTTGGACAGAGTGGGGAGAGAAACTTGAGAACGAGGAAAGGATTAAATAATCTTACATTCCCCCTCTCGAAATGAGCTCCAAGTGCTCAATTAATCGTCGCTTCGTTTTGTTTAAATTAAACAACGCGAATTACTAGACCATCTCAATGGATGGTATCCATTTTCTGGTTTAGTCGGTAGATCTGCGGTAATAATACTTACCAGACTCTATTGTCGTGAGAAAAACATCTTCGTTCGATAGTCCCATGATGCATAATTTGTTTTGTTTTTTGAACAAAAATGTTCAGGTTTTGTCATCTGACATTTTCAAAAACGTGGTTCGTTTTATACTTCTTCATTATCTTCGTTATGCATTCTGGACTAGCATTAACTGAGCCCATGACCATTTGTTGATTATGAAATTAGGAACATTATTATACACTTTGATGAACATTTATTTAGTATAAGAAACTTGCATTATAAAAGAAAATGCATATTGCATATTTCTGTATGTTTTCGAGTTAGCTGTGCCGCCAACTATAGCTCGCGTGGAGAGAAAAACTTGAGAACCAAAAAAAAAAAAAACTAAATTTGTATATAAATACGTATATCATATTTGCAAGCAAGAAAATCGTCTATACTTTGTAAGGGTAGTATTTTTTTAAAACTCAACTTACGTATAAGATTTTTAGAAGATTGAATACCGTGCTTGTTAGACGAATGAGATTTAAATAAATTATGTAGATATCATATGTAAATATACGTATTGCTCAGTTTGAAATAAAAAAAAAAAAAATATCCACTGTTTAAATGAATGTTATTTTTATACAGTCAAGTTTGCTGAAATATAATTCTTTTATTAGAGAAAGAATAACATTACATAGATGTGTTAAGCTTGACCACGAATACTTTCTAAAACAGTGAAGTGACTATATGGTAATTAATTTATTCACAGGTATTCTTGTTATTCATTTGACAAATTTGGTTTTATGTATGAACACGTTGGATGTTTCCCCCACCCCTCTCTTTCGTTCGTTCAAGAGTACGAGCTTGGTTATAAATTATCTCGTGTAGCAACCATGTTTCTAATATAAATATATATTACAATCAACCTAAACTTAAAATACGGTTAACTCCGACATGTATGATTACGAAACGAACGATGCCCCGCACATTTCGTTACTAATTGGAATGACTTTACGAACAGGAGAACAGTTTGTGTTGTCATAAGCTAAAAACATTAATGTAACTTTCGAAACCTTGTAAAAGAAGAATTTCTTTGTAATGATAAATTATATTTAGGAATCACTGTACACTAGCATTAGTTCCCTACGCGCTACTCCAAAAAAGAAGTAACAGTCATTGTTATTGGATATCAAAAAACAGCGTTAGCGAAATTCGAATTATCAGTGCGGCACCATTCTCCTGCTCATCTCACTTATTACGATATTTATAATATCGTCTATAAATAATTTTTCCCGCGCAGAATACGTGTTTTAAATATGTTTCCCATCAAGAATTGTCTACATATTACTTTTTGCCCAATTCATATGGATATCGTGCCTTACGTCTTAAATATGATGAAAAGAAAACTAACTACGATAATTGCCGCTGCAAGAATGACTATACAGTACAATTTTTTATTGGCTCTCTGATAAGAGTCCGCCTTTTTCAATTGTTTATAGCCTTCCTGTACCTGTACTTGCGTTTGCTCAATATTAAAATCGATTCTATCCAAGACAGTGCCCTGATCCTGCACCATATTTGCTAAGTCCTGTTCAGACAAAGTTTCTTGCTTAAAATTTTATATTATATAAATTTCTACTGTACCAAAGGTACTGTTTGAGTTCCTTACTTTGAATATATACCGAAGATCCGCTATACTTTGAACTATGCTGCCAATTTGTTCTTCTCTTTCCTCTGCTAACTTTATTCTATCTTCCGTATCTTCCAGTTGTAAAAGTACGGAATCTTGTCGTTGTTCATTGACGTGCCAAGTCTCTGAGTTTGTTTCACTGGATTCCATTAACCATGTGTCTGTTCCAGTGTTATTTGAAAATATAGATTGATCTTCGGTAAAAAATTGATTGCTCCTCTCTTCTCTCGATTTTACCTCTATAATCGTAAAAATTGTTTTAAGAATTTATTTGAAATATTTCTAATTTCGGAAAATCGTATAAATCGTACGTGTTAAGTAGTAATTCTGAGCTGATCTGTATCGAAAACCCAATTCTTGCAAAGCAGTGGAAAGAGCCATAACTGCGTTCGAGGCTAACCGACGCTCTACAGGTTTGTTATTGTGTCTGGCAGTAGTTTTAATAGATTGTACCTGGCGGTAACCGCTCGAAAATGCGCGTCCTATTTCTCGCGTTAGTTGCTCCATTTGTCTCTCTTCCTGTAGACATGTTTTTAACGATATGCTCTCTAACAATTAAGTAATCAAAATAAATCAAAACGATTGCAAGTACGACTGATGCTGTGTACTCAACAATTCATATTTTTCAACTATCCCAATCAAATCATAAACGAACCTTTGACGTATCGTCTAATGTTGGTCTGGTTAACTGTTTAGCTTGTAACTCTATTAGGCTGTCTATCTTTACTCGTAATCTACTTAAAATATACTGTGTCTCTTCCAAAGCATCTATCCAAACAGGTGGCGCGTTACTTTCCAAATTGATGTTACTTAATTCTACACTATCGGAACTGCCAGTCTCTGGAGCCACTAACGCCATTCGATCGGACAGATTCTGGAAAGGTAAGTTACACTGTGTCAATTTAAAATCTTTTGTAAAGGGTTAATGTCACTAATCTTCCAATAGTTAAAGGTTATACTATACCTGTTCAGCATATATGTGTTTGCTTTGTAATGCATTATTCCGCATCAAAATGAATGGTTCCGTTAAATTTCTCATTGCCATTTTTACTAATTTTATTTATTAATCAACAAAATTCACAATACTAGACTACTCATAGTCGGCTCTAAATAAATGCTTTCTGTTATACTCTATCTGTCATCATGATTAGATTGGAGTAAATTAAAACAGCTGTTCTATCAGTAATACCAAATTCAGATAGGGTATTTTCGATTTATTACTAGAAATTGAAACCGTGGCGCCATCGGTAGCGAAACGTCCAAGCTTGTCGTGAAAATAGTTCTCGTTTCTTGTCGCTAAATAACGCCACAAGTATGAAGTCAATTGACATTAAAATTGATGTAGTTTAAACATGTATTTTCAGTTAAAAATTAATATTACAATGCTTGTAGTATAATCAGGAAATCATTCTTGAATATTATACAAAAAATTATGTGAAGAAACTAACGTTGGTAATGTGATGTCAGTGGCGCCATCGGTGGCAAAACGCCTAAGTTCATCGTGAAATAGTTTTTGTGTCTTGCCGCTAGATGACGTCAACGACGTAATTTTTACCGACTTTAAAATTATTATAAAATATTCGACAATCATCTTGTAATTATGCTACCAGCATTGTAATATTAATATCCAATTGAGAAAATATGTTTAAACTATAAATTTTTACAATAAATTCTAATGTCGATAAATTTTATATTCGTGCGCCATCTAGCGGCAGTAAATAGGAACTATTTGACGACAAACTTGGACGTTTTGCCACCGATGGCGCCACGGGTTCAATTTTTGGCGCTAATTTTAAATTAAAAAGTTAGAATCATCAAGTACATTGGCGTCATTCTTTCCACGTTGCAAAAATAAGAATATATTTATTGATTCCGTGTGTGAGAAGGTGCGAGATTCTGATATCGAAAAACATTTTCGACGTCGCGAGATATACTTAATTTTAAGTTGCAAAGATAATTAACTGTTATTTTCCACATAGATATACTTAGTCCAAATAGTTTAACAAATAATGTAGGAAGGAGGATCTAGTCAGAATTAGTTAAAATAACAATACTTTTGTAACATATTGGATCCTTACCAGATTTTATTTATTTTCATCGTTCGAAACAATCTGTCGTATGAACTAACTTTATAAAAACGATTCGAGCTTTATCGATCATTTTTCCATCGACGTATTAATGAAGTCCAGATGATCTGCAACTCTAGTGTAGACACCTGGATAGTTGGGTTCAGCGCATTCCCACCCGAAACTAACAATGCCGACCACGTAGTAATCTGTGTCATTGGTGTACATCAGAGGTCCTCCGCTATCACCCTGCAAGTGAAGATTTCAAAGTAAAAAGACAGTCAAAATATTTAATTAAATATCTATCGATAGCTTTAAAATACTGTTACCTGGCAAGAGTCTTTTCCTCCCTTCTCCAATCCAGCGCACATCATTTTATCGTTGACCACCAGCAGTGGATGGGGTTTATAATCCTCTTTGCACTTGTCGATATTGACTACAGGAAGCTTCACATGCATGAGCTCATTGTTCATTGGTCCACCTATGGAAACACAAAGAAATAAATGTTCAACTATAACCGTCTACAGGTTTCCCTACGCGGATACATTGTATCATTTTCGTAGCTAACTAAGATCATGTAAACATAGGCGAGCCCTCACCTACGTACACACTACCCCAGCCAGCAACGGTAACCATTTCACCGTCCAATCTATCGCTGTTGAGCGGGTTGTCCAGCGGGAGACAAACGGGGTGCAGATAGTCTAAAAATTACAGAAAATAATAATCGGTCTCAACCCGATAGACAGGGTCCGTCTCAATCCTCGAAGGTGTTAATGGACACCCACCAGTAAATGTGACCTCATCCTTCAGTTTGAGAATGGCGATATCATTCAAGGTCTGCTTCACATCGTAATCAGGATGAACTATTCTCTCTTCGACCTCAACGTCGATAGGTCTGTTGCCATCTTTTTCCAATTCCACGACACCCATCCGAACCATGACAGGCTCGTTCCCTAATATACAGTGAGCAGCTGTCATAACGTGCCTCGATGATATCAGGGTACCTCCGCACTTGAATTTTGGTGGGAAAGTGTATTTCAACGCGGCCATCCACGGCCAGTCACCTATGTCATAGAAAAACTGTAAATATCCTATTTTCCAAGTAATTAATTCTCTTGTCAAATATTCTTGATACAGTTGATACTTTTTACGACCATGTTATGGGTGTATCGGAGAGCTCGTTGATAATTTTTTGCTTTAGTAAATGGACTCGCTGTTATCAATGTCAAAGTTCACCAATCGTGGCAGATTGATTGTTGGGAAATCGAATACGATGCAAACGAGGTCTGGAGTTGTACATACCTGGTTTTGACTTTTCACCACCTATCACGAAAGGTACGATACGTGGCACCGTGCTGCGACCGCACGATGGTGGCCGCAAGGCCTTCGGATTCACCACGCCAGCTGAAAAATTTATGTTATTCCCGATAAATGCATCGCGTATTTCGAATACAGTGGAGCGTTACATGTAGCAATTGCTCTGAGCGTGTTAAAATATTTTTATATCGTGTAATATATCATTGTATTAATGTGTAAAATAAATTCGATATAGATTTTGCATGCTTTAAACGGTTAAAATGAACAATTAAATTATTAAAGCACGAACCTTGAGCAGGTACCGCGTACACCAGTATGGCAATTAACGCCAAACACTTGACTAACATATCGGACGGCTGCTGTCCTGGGACCAAATGTATACAAACGAAGTAAAGCTATTAAAATACTCCCCGAAACTGACAGCGAGAGCGGCGCGACGCTGGTATTTATACAGATATTTAGGAAAACAGCAGAAATCCTCAAATATCAGACCTTTAACTCGAGCAATACTTACGATACGCGTATATCGTGTTTACGCGGTCGATACGTTACAATGTAAAGTGCAAAATTGATAACCCAGATGAATAAACTGTTATCCGCTAATAAAACATCCGGGATGAGACACATACATGCGATATATTAAACAATTTTTTTCTTTTTATTGCAAAGATGAAACTTTAACCATGTTCACGTTACACGCAAGTAATTACAATAATTGAAAGGAATTAAAATATGCTACATAGGAAGTAGACGTTAATCGTTATTGTTGTTTCATTGCTGATGTAATGAAGTCGAGGAACTCGGTAATTCTAGTGTAGACGTCAGGATATTTCGGTTGACCGCATTTGTAGCCGAAAGAAACTACACCTATCTGATAAAAGGTTGTATCGTTGCCATACATTAGAGGTCCTCCGCTGTCACCCTACAAGAACCAATTACGATTCAAATGATGAGCAGCCCTGTCTTCTGCGCATCTGCCTAGCGGTATACCTCTATATCCTCACCTGACAAGCACTTTTTCCTCCCTCGCTGTATCCAGCACATATCGAGCTATTCGTGATCTTCGCGTAATTATCGTTATAAGATTCGGCGCAATCATCCACACTGACTACAGGAACCTGCACCTGCATGAGAATGTCGCTCGTTGGGCCAACTAAAAAAATCACAAGAAGAAAGAGACGTTCAATGAAAAATTCTGTGCTTGAATCAAGTACCGCGATAAAACGTGGATTATTAATCGCTAGGCTGCGTATCTTTATGCGAAATAAAATCTTCGCGAACGTACCTACAAAAATTGAACCTAAATAGGAATATATTTTATTCTACAAAATATTATAACATGAACTTTATTTTCAATCTTTTTTTTATATTCTTGCGTATTGCTCGCATTTTGTAATTTATTGCACGTTCAAATTTTCTATAAAGAAAATCATAAAGATCCGCAGTCTATTAATCACCATATGCGGTGGATCCCCATCCAACGACGGTAGCATTTTTTTGATAAAAGTCATCGTATACTCGAGGCTCGTCGATAGGAAGACAGACGGGATGTAGCATATCTGAATATCACGAAAACAGTTTGACAATCTTGAACGTGCTCGAAATTGATACGTGTTTACCTACCACGCTTGCTCCTTGCTCGTCCCTTGCTCTTCATCTGGCTGCTCTTTGTTAATAGAAGTCATTAACCGCTACAGGTCGTGACAAAATTGCTTTCTTCGAGATTCGTGTGTATCAGTGTGTAAGATTTGTTCCAAATCAAGTATAATAAAAATAAACAAAGACGTACTCCTGTTACATTCTCTTATTTTATTTTGTAGAATAAAGTTATCCGTGCCCTCACCACCATCGGTTGCTTCACACAAACTTCAAACATTTATTATAAGTGTAAGATGGTAGTGTGAATTAACAAAGAATTTGTAATATCCGCGGTTTAAAATTCATTTTCGAGACGTACGAAGCACTTTCGAAATCAGAAATGTTCCACGACGATCCGAAGCGACGGATATTCGTTCGTTGGTTGTAATTTTTCTATCGATTCATTGATGAAATCGAGGTACTCCGTGACTCTGGTGCAGGTGGCAGGGTACCCAGGTAGACCGCAATGGTATCCATTAGACACGACGTCAATTATTTGTATAAATCAACAGCGAACAATTCTAACAACATTCTAACAAAACTAAACCTAACTACGATACATAGAAGATAAATGATGAATAGATACGAGAAATTATAGCGATAAGTATTTGAAATACGTGCTATTTAGTGGTATTCTTTGTAGAAGTACAGCTGTCGAGTATTTGTATAAATTAACAGCGAACGATTAGAAGCAAAATGCTTTCAGATCTTTTCGCAAGAATCCAGAAGGATTCTAGGTTATTCCGTTATTTCGCAAGATCTTCGATGATCGACATTCTGTTTTATTTGCCCAATGACGTGTTTATGAAGTCGAGAAACTCTGTGACTCTGGCGTAGACGCCAGGAACCGTAGGTATGCCGCAACTGAAGCCAAAAGAAACGATCCCGACCTGATAGTAGGTACCATTCATGGCGTACATCAAAGGTCCACCACTGTCACCCTGGAAAAGCAATTGTAATCTATCGTTTATTTCCGATACGCCTGCAATTCAAGCGAAGTTGAAGGTAGCCACCTTGCAGGTATCTCTTCCTCCCTCTGCGGCTCCAGCGCACAACGAGCTATTGTCGACAACGGTCTCTGGCAGCAATATCTGGTAAGTGTCTATGCAATCACTGAGATTTACGACTGGCATCTCCACTTGCATGAGAGTGTCGCTGTATGGTCCTCCTGTGGAAATACAAAATTAAAAAAAAGTCCATTACAGTTACAATATTACAAAATTATTTTCAAATAGAAGACTACAAGTGGCGATAACAAGATCGGGAATCGGCCACACGAATCTAACCCATTGTTACAGAATAACGAAATCACAGCCACCATCATGCACCTTTTGCGACGAGCCTCTCACAGTTAAACGTTTAATTGAAGAATGTCAAGGAATGCAGCGCGATCGAGTAGAATTCAAACTTTTAAATAATATGCAGACGATTCTCGACGATAGAAACGAATTTCTCAAACTGGTAGATATATTAACGAAACGTGAAACAATGAATAAATTGTAATTGAATTGTAGATATTAACGCGGTCACTGATAACCATGTAGTTGATGTGACCTTAAACAAAGTAACTAAAAAAAAAAACAGTTATTTTGTACGATAGAGGAAGAAGATCACTGACCGTCATCCGCCTTTGCTCCCCAGCCAGCAACGGTGACATTCTTTCCAGTTAGGTGATCGTTTATAATAGACTCGACCGTAGGAAGACAAATTGGATGTATATGTTCTGAAAATTACAATGTCTTGAAACGTCTTCTTTTACCGTTCTTAAATAAACGAAACGAAGACTCACCCGTAAACTGCACCTCTTGCTTCAGTTTGATAACGGCGACATCGTTTGCCCTAGTCGTCGAGTTGTACTCGGGATGCACCATCTTCAACTCGATGTCTAGGTCGATTCTTTCATCCTCAGCGGTCTGATTCGCGTTTCCTTCATACCTGTCTAGCGTCAAGACTCCGAGGCGAACCACGTACGGATCGACTAATCGCAGGCAGTGGGCAGCTGTCAGAACGTGCCTCGACGATATCAGGGCACCCCCGCACAGCCATTTTGGTTTCGTAGTACCAGGGTCGTTTGGAGACCCTAACGCGGCTATCCAGGGCCAGGCACCTAAGTCATAATGCGAGTATGAGTCTTGCTCTTCTCTGTTGAATAATTTCACTTCTTTTTTTATCTCTTTCGAATGCAAACTATCAGATTGCTTTGTGAGAAAAGAATACAACGAGGTATACAGGGTGTCCGAAAAGTCGGGGAGGAGCCGGAAATGGGGGGTAGCTGAGACGATTCTGAACAACAATTTCCTTTGCAAAAATGTCGGATGGGGCTTCGTTAAGGAGATATTAAGCGAAAACGTCGACCAATCAGAGCGCGCGTAGACCGTTGGAGCGGCCGCGGTAGCGAAGGCTACGCGCTAGGTCGATGCTTCGATGCACGTCGAGTCACTTGTTCGCGTACAAGCGCGACCGCTTAGCTCGTAGCCTTCGCTACCGCGGCCGCTCCAACGGTCTACGCGCGCTCTGATTGGTCGGTGTTTTCGCTTAATATCTCCTCAACGAAGCCTCGGACAACATTTTCGCTAAGGAAAAAGTTGTTCAGAATCGTCTCAGCTACCCCCCATTTCCGGCTCCTCCCCGACTTTTGGGACACCTTGTATAATGAGGTACGATACTCGTGCATACCTCGTTTCGCTTGTTCGCCACCCATCACCCTGGTAACCTGATCGACTTTGCTGGCACCGCAATCAGGAGGCTTCAAGATATTGGTCCAGTCCTCGTTCACTGTGGCAATTACGATTAGTTATTATTAAAATAAAATAAAATTATTATTACAATATTTACTCATAGGACTTATAGGGACACTGTTACATCGAGCGTAACAGAGTTTTGTGTGGAATTGAAGAATAGACAATTCAAAGCGCAAACCTTGAGCAGACGCCGCAATTATTAACAAGGCGATTAACGCCAGACCTTTGAACATCGTCTTGGACGTTGTTGATGTCCTGGAACAAAATTGAATCCAATTTAGCTTGAATCGGAAAGCAATGGATCCAGTTACAAGGAAACGCGCAAACAATAGATGTTGGTAGAAGGTGACAGGCGAAATTTTATATTTGTAACAGAAAGCGAGCTTGCTGCGAAAGTTACCGCGAAGATACCGTTTATATAGATGTAACCTTTCGTTGGATTCCGGATGGAAATTTCTTCGGTACTGACCGTGACAGTCACGCACCAATTACATTTATACTTAGGGTACAGTGGTTTGTCTTGTTGTTTTACAGTTATCTCGGGATAAACCTGTGACCCACGATGCCGTAACAACTATCCAATCAGGTGCTTACTGGTACTTTCCATTGATAACAGATCTTGACAACTGTCGAAGACACGGGAAAGTTTTTCAAACAATCGTACATTTTGCGAATAATAGTTAAAGAGAAAGTTCGTCGCAAGACAAAAATAGGATGCAGAGAAATACGGAACGTAACAATCTTTTGGAACGTGTAACACCAATGACGTGAGACATAAATGACGTACTCCTGGATTTTCATTTGTTACTCCGACCCCGATTAAGATAGCGTAACTGGATGAGTAAGCTATCTAGCAGCGAATGTTTCATTGAAATCGGTCCAGATGTTTTCCAGCTTATCGCGTACAATTACTAAAGTAAAACATCCGGATAAAACTTATGTAATAGTATTGATTACAGTATCAGCTGTTTCTCTTCATTGAAGGATAATACTTCGAACTTGATTAGCTTCACAACATTTGTAACCTTGTGCAGCGCAATTTGTCTGTGAACGATAGGACAACCGGGGTTAAACGATTCCATTTAAATAGTCAACGAGTTTTGTTTGTAGTTTCACGATATTTATTCCAAAGTAGGATGATGTACATGTGTTCACAAGGGGGTTGGTTACGATGATAAATAAAAAATAAAATTGTTATACGTTACATGTTATCAACGCTAATATAATATTGTACATAAACTGTATTCTCCATTGGTATGAATGAATTCCTTTTAAAGTTAATGGTTCTATTAAAAAAATTATAAACAAATGTATAGTTCCATAGTTACTTAAAGAGTATGTACATCAGAAAATATCCTGCATTGTCTATCTACACATATGGATAGCAATTTTTGTGATCCTGTTGTTTCTTCAAATCATTACTATCATAATGCAGAGTTACAAAAGAACCAAGGTGAACATTCAACGAATCAAGTAAATATAAAAATATGTATAAGGAATAACGATCGAAATAGCGACGTTGGGTAGGTACAGAAAATTGTAGTCGCAGATAGAGGATATTCATTAATTTTAATGGAATCCCTTGTACATAAGCAAAAATAAAATTCTCGTACAAATTAACAACGAATTTGATTCACGATCTAAAATTATATTTCGAGATGTTCGTCGATCGGTATCTTCCGATTACTGCTTCATTGCTCTGATGATGAATTCTTTTTCGGCGGCGGTTCTCGTGAAGAGAGCAGGGTAGCCAGGTTGAGCGCATTTGTAGCTGTACGAGAAGATACCAATCGCGTAGAACTTGCCGTCTGCTTTCAACATCAGAGGTGCACCGTTGTCGCGCTGAAAATAGTAATCGTAAAAATTAATTCGATTAAATTGATTAATCCCAAGGCTCGATAAGATTACAAGTCGAAATTGCATAATCTCGAATACACTTACGTCGCAAGCGTTGTTTCCTCCATCTTTATTTCCAGCGCATACGGTGCGGTCGTTGATCACCAGGTTTGGCAGTCCGCTGTAAGAGTCTCTGCAGCTTGGTATGGGAACGATGGGAATGGTAGCGTGTTTGAGAACGTCGCTCTGTGGTCCACCTACGAAAAGAAAACAGCGCTCGGTAGAACATTCCACGACGAAATCTATAAATTATTCGTTGCTACAAGTAGAGAGACGTCCGCTCACCTGTGGAGGTCATTCCCCATCCAGCAACGGTAACCAATTTTCCGTGGTAGTTATCGTTCGAGAGAGGTGGGTCCAATGGGAGACAGATGGGGAGGAGGGAATCTGTACATTAGAAAAAGAAATTAGTCCAGCACCTCTCTTTTGCACAAAATAAGCATTAACTCGTTGTTTCGTGTACACGTACTGCTAGGAATGGCATCCTTTTGCAGCTTGAGAATGGCGACGTCGTGTGCTTTCGTTTTTTCGTTGTATTCGCCGTGCACGATCGCTTGGTCGATTAGGATATCAACGTGGGAAGTGTTCGTCGGGCTCAAGGTACTGAATCGAACCAGGTACAGGTCAGGTTCCATTGTCGCACAGTAAGCAGATGTGAGAACGTGTCTCGTGGAGATCAGGGCACCTGCGCACTTGAAGAAAGGTTCGTCCACACCCTGCGGGTTCCGGTATCCCAAAGCACCCATCCAGGGCCATTGGTCTGGAACGTTCCAAAAATCGCAGGTCAGTTTTACAGCGAATTCGTATTAAAAAATACTTTCTTCTAATTAATTGAAATTTGTTGAAAATTATATACAAGTATAAAGACGCGCCTGGTTTGGATGCCTCGCCATCGACGATCTTGTTAATATTTACGTCCACCACAGGTTCGCCACATCTCGCCTCTCTGGTCAAGGAACCTGTCGAAGAATTGATATTGTTAATGGTACGTGCGTTGGACTGTGCTTTATGAATTACTATTAAAGATGCGAATGCACAAGGAAAAAGAAATTTAAAGAGCAAACCTTGGTCTGCAGCCACACACGCTAATAACGCGAACAACGCCAAACACTTGACCAACATCTTGGACTCTGCTGCTGTTCTGAAATCAAACGGAATCTGATAAATTGAAACGACGCGACGTATGAAAACTGATGGAAAACAATAAGCAAATTGAAAGTGAAAATTTTATATTCGGTTTACTTGCTTCTAGCTTACCTTCTTGGTTTTGGAGATTTCGTATTGTTTCGAAGTAGAGTCGCTTCTGCAACACTTTTCGAAACTGACGATGGGACCACTGCAACACTGCCATTTATACTACTCGTTACTCAACCGACAGATTATTAAATCACGAGGAAAATAAATAACCCGGATGAATGCAATCTTATCCGCTTTCGTTTCACTTATTACACCGAAAATAACACGGGTTACTGTTAATGATAAACTTGGCATGGGATTTATCGGTACATCGCATCCGTAAAGTGCGCGCAAAAACGACGAAAAATCCGATTTTCGCGAAAATACTCGATCACGATACATTCCATGCAACGTGTTCGCTCCAATTGTTTTTCTAATTCTTCCAAGTAATACTAGACACGATACGAATCGAGATTCATCCATTATATTCACTTTGACAGCTTTCTATCATAGTAGCTTAATTCTTCTCTCGTGATAATGCATACCAAATGAATTTTTCATTACAAATATATATATAAATATATATATAAATATATATATATATATATATATATATATATATATATATATAT